CATCAGCAAGCACGCTGAAAACATTCCTTGAAGCAACCTACTTCTCTGTGTCGTAGAAATGTAGTTCACCAGCCAGGGTACAGATGTGTATCCTGAAGGGTGAAATGAATCCATCCAGTTGTTGTCCCTAAGTCACCTGCAGTACAGATAGATTTTCAGTTCCAAATACCAACTAAAAATGTTATGCATTTGTGCCTAACCACAGAGGGAGAATACAGGAGAGGAATGTGATCTAAGTTGTATTCTTTTAGAGTCAAGATGAAACTGTCAGACTTCTCTAGTGTGCCTGGCAGAATTGGTCTCACCCCACCCCAGGGAAGAGTTTATAGATAGATCTGTTGAGCAGTATGATAGTAAGAAGGATTGAAATTATGTCTCTATTTAAAAAATTTTTTTGTAAGGACTCTGTTACCTTTGAAGATGATCTGGAATAACCCAGTCGGGGGTGAAATTTTTCAAATAAAATCATTTCTACTCACGTAGCTATATATAAATACATATTCCAAGAACCTGCTGTCAAGTGAGCTCTTTATATGTGTTAGATTAGAGGTGCTACATAAGGCCCAAACTGGCTGTGGTCAAAATACAAGGCTATCACAGTGGTGTGGTGGACTTTTTCCTGGTTTCTTCCCCAGAGTTAAAATAAATTATTGTTTTTTTTTTGTTTTGTTTGACTTGGGTAGTAGATGAGGTAAGAAAATGGTAGTTACTCAGCAAAGTGTCTCACACTCTAGGAAGCCCCCCAGAGCTGAGACCTATGAAAGAAACATAAAATTCATGTCACTTCCTTCAGTTGTGTGTCTCTTGGGCAGGGTGTGCGATAAGGCTGGCCAGGAGCCTCTGTTTATGTTCAAGTATTTTGTTCACTTGCTTTGAGCATATACAACTGGATCTGCTTCATCTGTACATAGAAGCTAGTTCAATTGTGATGCCATTTATATTTCTTATTTATGGTCTATTTATTATAACGATTATGTTTTAGAACTCATTAGCCCTTTTGTCTCCTTAGAGTAGATAAGATACACCGGCCTCTATGTGGTACCTGGCATATTGTTGACAGTTAATCAGTCCTCTCTCTGGGAGATCTCATCTGTCCCCACAGCCTTGGGTTTACCTTGGTGGGAAAACATTCATAATGGAGCCTTGCACTGTCCTTTCTCGTACATTACAGTCCTTGTCCAAGTGCAGGGAGCTGGATTTCCTCTCCTTTTAAATGCCTGGTATCTACAGCAGATTCGTCACCTTGTCCTTGTTTTTCCCTATCAAGATAGAGAGCCAAATTCAAGTGTGAGCTCCACCAAATTCTCAGTTACCTTGATGAGCACAGTACCTAACCATCACATTGAGATGTTTTTGGTACAGATGCTTTTTAACTCCTACTTCTTTGGTTCATTCAACAAAGAGCTTTGCTTCCCTGATGGCTTAATCATTGTATGCGGGTTACATAAATACTACCTGTCACCAGGATGCAGGTGAGACACCCTGGATGTCATCCCAGGGCTACGAGAAGTGAATTACTAGAGAAGTGGTCTAAGGAGTGACTGTAATTTACCATCTGTGAAACAGTTAGTGAACAAGGTTGGACAACATTTTTGTTTTCATAAACCTCATTCTTTTAGCAGATCAAGTAAACGGGCAGTTTTATTATAGTGTGATGAGTCCCCAGAAAATGGAAGTACAAGAAACACATGAAATTGGTACCTAACCCAGACTTTGTACACCAGGAAGCCTCCTTTAAGGAGTATCTCAGCTGAATCCTAACAAGAAGTGAGAATGAGACAAGTGAAGAGAAGACAGGAATATTTTCGGCAAAGCAAACTTTGTGCGGGGAGGATATGACGTGAAGGAGAACCTGTCGCATTGCTGGGAGTGGAAGATTTGTGTACAGTGCAAAGTGAGGAGTTAGGGTTCCAAATGCAGTCTGTGTGGACCCATCACAGGATGTGCATTTGATTCTGTGTGCAGTGGAGAAAGAGCGAGGGTCCTGGTGGGAGGAGCTGGGGTTTGGAAGGTGCCCCTCATGGATGTTGATGCTGCTCAAGATGCTGGCAGGAACTGAGGTGCGGAAATGACAGGAACTGGTGCTAGGCTTTCAGCCATGGTGCCCACCAGGGAGCATTTGGACCATTCATGATGTCATTTCCTCCTCCTCCTCTTCCTCTTCTTATCCTTCCTCCTCCTCCTCTTCCTCTTCTTCTTTCTTCTCCTTCTCTTCTTTTTCTTCTTCTTCTTCCTCCTTTTCTTTCTTCTTCTCCCACCTCCCCCGTTTTTCTCTTCTTTTTTGAATGTGCAAATGGCTCAGGGCCCAGAAGTGTAGGCTTGACATTTCTGTGGAACAAAGACCTAACCTGCACCCTACAAGACTTCCAAATGTCGGGCTAAATAAACCTTCAGGAACTGAAAAGCTAGCTTCATACGTGGAGTGGTTTCAAGATGAGAGAGCTTCCTGCAACCCTGACTCTGTCCCGTGTCATGGGTATTATTTTGTCCTGGTGTTGCATTATAATCATTAACATATTAATTTCACAAATTAGTGCATTCCTTGTGATATTTCCACACGTGCATATATTATGCATTGATCATGTCCATATTCCTGCTCTCTCCTCCCTTTCCTGGCCCCTTTCCCATTTCCTTCTGGTCCATCTTCTATGTTCAAGGTATCTTTTTGCTTCCACGTATGAGCTGCAGCATACAATACTTGTCTTTCGTGTCTGGCTTATTTGGCTTAACAGGAAGTCTTCTGGTTCCATCCATTGCCTTGCAAATGATGATCTCACCCTTCTTTGTGGTTGGATCATACTTCATTGCGTATAAACCCATGTTTATTACCTTTATCCCTGTATCTGTGGGTGAGCTCCTAGGCTAACTCCATATCTTCGCTGTTGTGAACAGTGCTACAATAAACACGGCAGGAAGGTAGCTCTTTTGAATGCTGGCTTCTCATTTCCTTCAGATATATACCCAGCAGTGGGGGTAGCTGGCTCTCGTGATAGGTCTGCTGTTAGCGTTTTGAGCAGCCTCCGTGCTGATTCTGTGGCGGCTGCAGTCATTTACATTGTTTGCCACCCACGGTACACAGCACTCACAGACCAAGTCCAGCTGTTTGTATCACTGTCTGCACTTTAGTCATCTTGGTCTGTCATCCCCAGTTTAGGTTGCTTCTTTTCTGTCATGTTCAAGTTAACCTGGTCTGTGCTTTCCACCCAGATGCTGGTCTACATTCTGTATTTACCTGTTCATCTGTCCTTTCCTTTTCCCATACGTTCTTGTACAGAATGGCTCCTGATCTTTTAAATCCATCTTATTTATTATTACAACATCTGCCTTGGTCACATTTTCTGCTCTGCTCATGCCAAACATTTATATATTGAAACACAGATTGTTTCTTTCTGAGTTCTATCTTTGTATATTATTGTTAGGGAAATGCATTACCTTGGAAAGGGCTCCGTTCGTTATGTGTTGGTAAGTTTTACTAGCGGTCATTTACACTTCAGGGTATCAGTGGGATATTACGGAGTGTTTGTTATAAAAGAGAGAGTTGAGAGCCCCTACCTTAGAGAACAGGGGGAAGCTGCAGGGAGTCGGTGTCTGACAGTACAGTAGTGCGGGGCAAGGTGGTGGTACGTGATCCAGGGGAACAGGCGTTTTTCTACAGAAGCGGCAGTCAAGGAGGAAACCTGTCCCCGTGCCTGCCTCTTCACTATGCCCAGACTCCTCCCTCCGCCCAGAAACCGCACCCTTCTCGCCGTCCACCTTGGTGGCATCTGGCATTTAACCTCGTTCTTTCTGAAGATGGCCTTGACCCACCTGCACTGGAAGAAGAGACGACGGGTGAGGGAATGGACGGTCCAGAACCTGGGCTCTGTGCTAGACACGGTGCCTGTGTTCGCCTCTGTTCCTCCCAGGAAAGAGAGCGTGACCTCTCTTAGACTGAGAGTGGCTTCTGGTCGGGCCCCAGAACTTCACCTTGTCCGGGGGCCAGAAGCAGGAGTAGCGAGCGGAACCTGGCTCAGGACAGGTGTCCCCGGAGCCTGTGTTCTGCCCATTGGGACCGCACAGTCCCCCATAGCTGGTGGCAAGCTGAGTGATGCTCTGAGATGGAGAAAATGAAGGCTGTTTGGGGCTTCGGCCTTTCTCACTTCTGACTTCAGCTTCATATCTGAAACCATTCTTTGTCCTTCGGGCCCCTGTGTCTTAATCAGCCAGTTATTTTCTTTGAAATCAGATTTCACTTACCATCTTTTATTACCATGACATTTACCATATGCTCTACTCATTCTGGATATTCCGTGCTTAGACAGTGATGGATTTAACGTGTAAGGTCTGTGCCTGTTTCCAATGCTTAAGGAGCACCTGAAAATACACAGTGTAGAAGGCCTCAACAAAGGCCATAAAATGTGGTTTTGTAAATTTAAAATGCAAAATTTGAATTTGCATCCAAAATATAGTTAGAGTCAAAGGCTTTCTTTCATTAAGATGTAAAACTTTAAAATTGAAATTATCATTCTCTAATTCTTTTTGGGGGAGCGCACATAATTTTTAAGATCTTGTGTTTATCAGTGCTCGTTAATATATTCAGATATAATTGAGTACGTTCCATTAAAAACATTTCTAACATTTTTGAGGGATTTAAATTTTAAAAGTAAAAAAGCAACAAAAGAAGCCCAGCGTGGTCGCACACACACCTGTAATTCCAGCTTTCACAAAGCTGAGACAGTTGAATCGCCAAAAGTTCAAGGCCAGCCTGGGCCACGTGGTGAGCTCAAGGCCAGCCTGAACTGCACAGCTAGACCATGTCTCAGACAAACAAGCAAAGAAACAAAAAGCAACAAAAGAAATTCTAGCTGGGTTTTGATCCACCACTTAAATAGATGTACCCTCTTTACTCGGAGTGCAGGACTGCATCCCTGTCGCCAGTCTGTCTTAGAATTCATGTCCATTGCCGCAGTGTTAAGTCAATGCTTTGTTTGGTGCTGAAGCTCTGCTCTCCTGTTCTTCAGGTCCTGTAGGAGTCGGGCTGAACGAACTCAAGCGGAAGCTGCTGACCAGCGATACTCAGCACTATGGCGTGACGGTGCCCCGTGAGTGTTGGACTACTCAGTGCTGCTCTGATCCGGCCCTGGCAGTCACTCGCTGCTAGAGGGGCACACCCAGTGGCAGTGCCAGGTGCCATGCTGAGTCCTCACCTTCCTGCCTCCCTCGGCCCTGTGAGGTCTGTGCAGTGGCCCTGTCCACATCTCACTGGCCAGCAAGCTGAGGCACCAGAGCTGCAGGGATTTGCTCTGAAGTACACAGATCATTGACAGGGGCTCTGTTAACTGCAGCTTCTCTACTTTTAGATTTTTATGATGAGTTTCAATACATGGATGACAGCAACTTACTATTTACAGATTCCTCAGAAAAGTCTCACTGTGCTATTTTGTAAAATAAGTGCTAATGTTTTCCAGTTTTTCATTAGTTTTATAAGTAGAAGGACCAAACCATGGCGAGCTAAAGCAGGCTTTGCATAACACGAACCTTTCTTAATTACCTTTTCTATGTAGTAATTGGCAGGTGTGTTAAATGGCTTTTCGTGGCTCTGTAGTCCAAACCCGGTAGGCTTCTTTGCAGTTCACAGAATCAGACCTATTTTTATGAAAGTGGTTTTCATAGGCATTCTTACAAATGAAACATGATGCTTGAAACATTTTGATCTCCAGAATAAATGCCATTTGACTACTTAATATGTTGATGTTAGAAAGCTGTCTAGAAGGCTAAATTGAAATGTTGGCATTGTCAAGTGGTTTTAGTACTTTTTTTAATACTGTTTTTTAAAAAATCATTTGTATATTGCCTTCAGCAATGTTCTGTAGTTTTGGAAGAGATCAACTTCATTATGAAATTATAGTTTTCTGTTACCTCAACTTACTTCTCATTACTACATTTTCCCAAATTATTGTTCATAATCATTTTCAGCCATCAGTTACAGGACTGCTGGTTTCTACCAAAAGAGACGAAAGTAAAGGAAAATGTGGAATTACAGTTTCTTTAATTGAGTTTTTTTAAACAAAAGTTGAATTGTGATATATAGGTAATCCGAAAAATGTACAAATTGAAGTTATGCTTACAGATGAATAGTTACCGAAGAAACTTAGAAATTTCTGCAAAGCCATATTACAAAAGGAAAAGTAAATTTATTAATTTCCTACCACATATCATCTCTTTTTTATCTTAATTTATGCAATACTACCAAAAACAGTATAAGATGAGTGATATTGTCTCCATTTTGCAGAGAAGGAAACAGGTGGAAAGGGTATTCTGACTTACTCAGAGATCCTCAGATGATTGTTATGCTTGAATTTAAACCTAGGTTTTATGACCCCATTTCTTAGCTTCTTCCTCTTGTATAGTGCTAGGAATCCTTTCAAACTACAGACTCTTTATTGAATCAAGTGAACAGTAAAACTGATTTCTTTTGAAGGTGATAAATATAAAACATAACCTATGATGGTTTTGGTATTCATGAAGTCCTACAACAAGGTACTTTGGCCTCAGTTTACGCAGCTACTAAGGTTTGCTTCTGAAGTTATTGGAAAAGTTGACAATATCCAGAAAATATCTCTGTAAAGAAATCCTGAGAATAGTTAGTTATATATGCCATGATTCACTTGGAAATGGGTGTTAATGTCAAACAATTCTGATGTAGCATTGTTTTCTACACTTGCCTGATAAATAAGAACTTCCTTGGGTTTTTAGGAGAATATGCTCAAGGCTGTATTTATAGCAAGCATCTGAGGTGATTCATAGTACCAGACACATTTGGAAAATAAACCATAGTATCAATTCAGGATGATTTAATTCAAGAAGGATATATCTTAAGAGAAATTCTGGAATTTTCAGTTTTATACTCTGGACAGATTCTGGAGCATTGGATAAAAATTACTACTTTGATTGTACTACTACTCTGATATTTCATTCCATAGTTCTCCTTTCTGAAATGTAAAATATCCACTGTAGAAACACATGTGGACCAGTGGAACTCTTGCACACTATTGATGGGAATATAAAATAGCATTTTGGAAATCTATCCATATGTACTAAAGCTATGTAAACACACACTGTGGACCCAGCAGTTCCACTCCTGGTTACAAACACAACAGAACAGCATGTGTATATTTACCGGTAAGCCATACACTCAGGTATCCTTAAAAGCATTACTCACAAGAGTGCCAGTGCTCATCAGCACTGAATGAGTGAATAGATTGTGATATGTTATGATACATTCCCCCAATTGAGTACTAGAAATGTTTAATATGAGCACTTTTAAATTACAGAAAAGTAGCAGTAATAGGTACTCTTTTATTCATTCTGTAAATCTCTGCCATTTAATTGGGCTATGTAGACTATAAGCATAGTTTAAATTGTGAAAATTAATTTAAGCAACTTTTATTTTCTGGCTGTTTCTGTATTTCATTTTCTTCTGCCTTCTTTTGAATTTTCTGAATGTTTTTTACTCTTTCATTTTAATCTGCCTCTCGACTCTCTGGTTTATATGTCTCTGCATTAACTTTTTAGTGGTTGCTCTGTGGATTGCCATGTGCATATCTAACCATTTACCATCTTCTTAAACTTAACTTTGTATCATTTCACATAAAATGTAGAAATATTCCAAACGAGATTACTTGTGCCTTAATCTTTTTTTGCGTATTTTTATTTATTGAAAACTCAGATGATATAATTTTTACTTTAAAACATAAATATTTTGATGAATTTAAGAGGAAAAAGCAGACTATATTTATTCAAGTACTTACTCTTTCTTCATTTCTGAAAATACAATTTTTTCACATCATTTCTCTTCACCCTAAAAATATTTTTGAATATTTCTTTTTTAAAAATACTTTGTATTTTTATATTATCCGAGCATTTTAATTACACAGAAAATGGGTTTATTTTGGTACATTTCCTCAAATATTTCTTTTAGAACAATCTTCTGAGAAATTTGTATTAATTTTTCCTTATCTGGGGTTATTTTTATCTTGTCTATCTTCCTGAAAGATATTTTGGTTAATACGTCCTTTGCAGTACCTTAAATATATTAATTTATTAATTTTTTGTTTTTATGACCTGTGGCAAGAAATCTATGATAGCTGAAATCACCCCCTTGTATGTACTGTATTTCTCCTACTTGATAAACTTTTTACATATCTTTGTCTTTTACTATTTTTAGGCATTTTTTTTAATGAATTTAAACTGTTGAGATTTGCTGAGCTTCTGAAATCTGTAAGTTTATTTCTTTCACCAGTTTTAGAGGCATGGAGGTTATTATTTCTTCAGATACATTTTTTCTGCCCAATTCCTTTTTCCTCTTCCATCTCCCCAGTCATGCATATTTGCACTCAGGTCTCTGGATTTTTTTTTATATTTTTGAAATCTTTGTCCTCATTTTTTTCCACATTATATAATTTTTTATTGATTTGTCTTCAAGTTCACTGATTCTTTTCTCTCATCTACACTTTCTGCCAAGCCCATGAGATATTGCATTTTTTTAGTTCTATCTTTTCTACTTTTTAGAGTATCTGTTTTTCTGCTAAATATTCATATTTTTGTTCAATTCAAGCATCTTTTTCTTTATGAAGCATAGTTCTAAGAGCTACTTTAATGCCTATGATAATTCTAACTTTGGGTCATTCTGGGTTTCCAGTTGTTATTTTTCTTCAGGAGAATTGGTTATATTTCCTTTGTTCTTTTATGTTGAATACATTTAGATTGTGTTCCAGATATTATAAATGTAATGGATTAATCCTAGGTCCCATTAGAATGCACTGGAGAACGTTGATGTTTTTAGAAGACTATGAGCTGGTTTATGCTTGGACCCTAAGTTCTAGCTCCCCTACATTGCTCTGTTGGATCGGGTCTGTCCTGGTTCAGAGATTAGTCTGTGCATGATTCAAATCTCAGCTCAGTTCTCTATGCCTTTTCTGGTTGGTTTGAGTGTGTTCCATGCTCATTTTTCAAGGATTAGACTGAGATTTGTGTATTTGATCTCAATTCCCTTCTTAGAATACTTATAGTTTTTAATTTTTGTTTTCTGTTTTGTTAATTGGAGACACCATCAACTGATACTCGTGTATTCTCATCTCAGTTCACTTCCAAGTTTAGAGCTTCAACCTTTGCTATGCTCCTTTGAATCTGCTGCTAATATAAAGGCAAAGGGTTACTGTTCTTAGACTTATATTGGTTCATGCACAGAATTGAAAGTGTTTCTTTCTCTGAATTTCTCCCTCCTGGATTCCCACACACTTTTCAACACACAGGAGGTTTTTTTCATTCCTGGTTCTTTTTACCGAAGAGTCTGGGCTTCTATTGGAGATTGTCAGTGTGTTCCACCCCACATGGTGCCTCTTATGGCCCCTGCCTTTGCAGCAGAGCTAAGATGGAGACATAGGATTATTTGACAACAACGACAATGTAACCTAGAGAGTTACTAACATTCACTGGCAAATTACTGAAAGTGTGGAAATTAAATTATATTCTAATACGGTGCCATAACTTTGTAAAGTTAAAATACATTCAGTAACCTCATGCATTTCAGGGAACACAATATTGACAGCAGACTACCATGTCCATGTGGGAAAGACAGCAGCTAATTTCAGCTTGCCTAGTGGACAGTAGACTTGTTTCAAATAATAAAGATTAGTAAATAAAGATAGTAAACATATGATTTACAAAGGAAAGGAATTCTTCCTCAAGGGTTTACAGTGCCACTTGTATTCAGTTATATTAGGCTTCAAACACACAATAAAATTGAATTTAAATCTGTCTTCCAATGTTAATAACAGTGCAAAAATCTGTATATAGACACTTTAACATTTTATTCGATTATTTACCTTTGCACAAGCGTAAGAAAACTGCTTCAAATACACTTGATGGGTTCTTTTATTATTTTCTTTAAGGTGGCTAATGTAGTTTTTTTCTAACTTGTTTGTTTTTTTTTTTTTTTAATCACAGACACTACCAGAGCAAGAAGAAGCCAGGAGAGTGATGGTGTCGAATACATTTTCATTTCCAAGCACTTGTTTGAGACAGATGTACAAAATAACAAGTATGTGGTGGAAGTTTTATGTGCTTATTATTTACCTTCAGCTTTAGGTGACTTAGGCTTCTTCTCCCTTTAAAAAGCATTTCAATTGTCATAATATTTGAAATGCATAAAAGTGATAAATTCAATAATTGGTACCCATCTTCACCTCTGTTTTTAAGCTGTGGGTTACTACATTTCTGTTACGTTGTGTTCACAGTAGTGGCGAACCTACGGCACGTGTGCTGACCATTTGTTATCAGTGAAAGCTCTGAATGGTTTGCCATCACTGGTTTAGGAAATGTTTTGCAGTCTGCGCTTGCGAGCGTCTTATTGTGACCTCTCCTCAGCCCACTCATTTGATCTTCATGTTTAAGTTGGGTAGAATTTTATTTTGAAAACCAGTGTGTGACTTTGTAATATATTGCTGGATCTCTTTCATCCACACACACGCATACACACACACACACGCACACACATCTCATTCTCACATTGCCACTTCAAAAACTGGGTGAAGTTCTTATTCTGTGCTGTACCATCTCCTCTAGCTAGCTCCAAGTTTCCCTTCCAGTTTTCCATGTGTTTAAGCAAGAATATTTTAGGGTATCAGAAGCGATGTCTGTTTTAATGAAGGATTGTGGGGTTTTATTGAAACATCGAAATGCTTTCTTTGCATTTGGTGCAGTGATGGTGTTTTTATAGCACATAATCAGCTGTGCTGGTTCCATTGCCACCACAGCTCCTGGCACTCGGAAGCAGAGCGTGGTTACTGTGTGGTGAAATGTCGGTAGTGTCTATTGTTTGCTTCTTTACTGCTGCATTGCCTTGTGATACTTCTGAGAAAGGAGGTGGTGGAAAACATTAGAGCTCCACTGGGCTACAGTACTTTTCTCTCCCTGGCTTAAGTGTAATACAAGCAGGTGTTACTGATTTGAACATGTGGGATAGAAGAATTTTTAAAAATTGACATGCTGAAGTACTTGCCCTATTTTATTAAACATGGTAAAAAATTTACATGTTCAGCACAAATATCTCTTACCTTTGACTCATAACCTGCCACCTATCATTTTTAAATTTTCTAAATGATTCTGATACATCTCCAACTTTCTACAGGTTCATCGAATATGGCGAATATAAAAACAACTACTATGGCACAAGTATAGATTCAGTTCGGTCTGTCCTGGCTAAAAACAAAGTTTGCTTGTTGGATGTTCAGCCTCATGTAAGTAAACAGGGGATTTCCCAGCACCCTTATGACCAATGTGATCTACTTCTCTCCCGTTAAGCATTTCAGTTTGAGATAGAGAAATCTAAAGTCTGTTCATGTCAGTGTAATTTGAAGTATCTTTGATGGAAAAAAGGCCTATATTATTAGAAAGGAGGAGTAGAAAAAGCCCAAGACCCATGTAAGTCTTTTTTGTATTCAGTAAGCTTCAGTGACTCTTAGATATTTCTGTATTTTTCATAATTAAAACAATACATTGTTATATGGGTAGTATATTTTATCTGTTATGTATTATACATGTTAGTATGTATGTAATATGTTTGATGTGTTACAGAGTGTGTTATCTATTTGACTAGTGGACATTTGATCCTCAGTCCTCTAATTTTAGCCCCAAATGTATACTGGCTGTAGGGAGCCCTGCAGGGATGTGGGGCATTGACCGGGTCTTCTGTAGATGAGAGCTCTGTAACAGCTGTTAGGTGGATCTGTGCCATGGCCCTGGGAGCTCCCGTGAGCGTCCAGCCTGAGGATGCCTGTCATACCACCTCCTGTCCAACCTACAGCATCTTCCTGGTCCTCAGGGCCACAGATTCTCCTCCACTGTTGGGGGCGACCTGGACCACACAAACTCCAGATGCCAGAGAGATCTGTAGGTGCTCTCGCAGCTCTGAGGGAGGGAGAAGCTGGAGCCAGCAGTGAAAGGGAAGGCCCTGCTGAGCAGAAGTGCTGTGCTCAGGCCTGGGGATGTAGCCTGCCTCGCGAGTACACGAGTACACGAACCCGAGTTCAATCCCCATACCAAAAAGAAGCAGGAAGTGCTCTGCTCGGGTTCTGCGCTGGTTGCCCCACCTCCCTCGGCCCTCAGCCCTCAGCCCTCAGGCGTCTGTCAGCTACTCTGACTGTGAATGAGTCCCCAGGCGGACTGAGAAGAAAATGAGACCTTTGGGAAGGTGCAGGCAGGATCTGCCTAGGGCCCTCCAGGCGGCGGGAGGAAAGAGAAGGAGCCCTGCTTGACACCGGGCAGAGGCCTATGTGGTGATTAGGAGACTTTCGTGGGCAAGAGGTTCTTCATTTCATCATATTCATCAGGTAATTTGATCTAAAAATGAGTTTCACAGGATTTCTATCTGCTTGTACTCAATATTGAAGATGGTATATTTCAAATCATTTTAAAGTGCAGGATACATTTCCAGCTTTACGGGTGTTTGTTATCTTTACATGTCAAAAACTGAGCAACTATATATCGAAAGACCCACTGACCCTAATGAATTTTCTCCTCAGAAAGAAAATTTAATAATTCATGAAGTTATAAAAAATGAGAAAACTCCTTTTCTTTCTTATAGACTGTGAAACATTTAAGGACCCTTGAATTTAAGCCCTATGTGATATTTATAAAGCCTCCATCGATAGAGCGTTTGCGAGAGACCAGAAAAAATGCAAAGATTATTTCAAGTAGAGATGACCAGGGTGCTGTGAAGCCCTTTACAGTAAGTACAATGGCACTTGGTGATGATACCTAAAGCATGATTATTACATATGCACACTGCAGCTACTCAGGGACCCTATTAAAGATGAAGTTGTGGTCCAAAAACCTGTATGAGGTAGAATTGAATTTAAGTGTACACACACACACACACACACACACACACACACACACACACACACACACATATATTTTTTTTTTTGGGTACCAGGGATTGAACTCAGGTCCTTGCACTTGCAACACAGGCTTCCAAACCACTGAGCTAAATCCCTGGCCCCAAGTACATATATTTTGTTTCGAAAATTAAAGTTGAATGAGGCTACAGCACCTGTGCTAATTTAAGTCTCAAATGTATATCATCTTTATGTGATTTATGCAAACTGTACAGTGTACCAGCGTCTGTTGTCTACTTCTCCATGGTGGGTACACATATTTTGAACAGCTGCCTTCTAATTCCTTTTTTCCTTTGGTTCCGGGGATTGAACTTGGGACCTTGCTTTTACGAGGCAGGCAGCGGCTCTACTTCCTTTCTGTGCTTCTGTGAATGGGTCTTCATATTAAGTTTCCAAAACTATTTTTCATACTAATATGTATATAATATGTTTTATATATGTATACATTATTCTCTAGGCTAAACATTTATATAAAAGCTAAATTGTTTGCAGATTACCCTTATTTTTAAAGATTAAAATGCCTGAATCAATTACAATTAATTATTAACAGTAAGAATGTGCTTTGTCTCCTGAAATCAGCAGTCATATTTAGTATAGTAAATAGAACAGGCACCATTTTGGGCACAGGACTAGTATGCTAATACTATTATTCAGTGGCATTTGTATTTCTTGTGCATATTAATTAAAACTGAAAACTTTGTATGTTAAAGCTCGTGGCTTCTGGCAAGGCCTTTTGTTGTTTTTCAGTACTCTCAAGATAATAAAGAAAGATGTTAAATGCAAAGACCGTTTTTCCTCTTAATTAGCTTATGTTTATTCTCAGTAGTAATCTGTAAACTTAATTGTAGTTGCAAAGTAGTGGAGATCATGTTTTTGATTCTCAGTATTTGATCTCTTTTCTAAAGTGCTGACAATATATACTGATGTTGAGTAGCTACTGTTGTGTGATATTAGTTCCTGAAGGCTCTTGATTAATGCTAAAAAATGTTGTTAGATGACACTGCACTATGGACTCAGAAATTGTCTCTATGTTGTAATGTGAAGAGTTATCACATTATTTATAGTTTTAAAGCTTCTCCATGAAGAGAATAAATGATAACATATCTTTGGCTCATTTATGTTTCTGTATATACTTACATAATCTTGAGTTTTATAGCCCGCTAAAATACTTCCTGGTGTCAAAATGTGGCCACAAAGCACTCCTGAAACCCTTCTGCTGAGCCCACGGAGAGATGTGGTGACTAGTCTTTCCTAATGTTTCTAAGGCTAAAAGCATAGTTTGTGTTATAAATTCTTTGCTGTGCAAAAGCTCAAGCAGTGCCACCGGTCAAAGCTCCAAAGTAAATTATGACCTATTTCTGGCTGAGTTGTAAGGTTGAGCAGAAGAGCAGCATCTGATAAACCAGCTGAAGAATGCTTCCATTGATGTGAAGGGATGGAACTGCCTGGTTAACCACCTTTTTAATAATATTTCCTTTTTGTAGGAAGAAGACTTTCAAGAAATGATTAAATCTGCACAGATAATGGAAAGTCAATATGGTCATCTTTTTGACAAAATTATAATAAATGATGATCTCACCGAGGCATTTAATGAGCTAAAAACAACTTTTGACAAATTAGAGACTGAAACCCATTGGATACCAGTGAGCTGGTTACATTCATAGCTAAGAGGAATTTTCATAGAGGCCTTTTTTATAGAGTGCATGATTAAGTCAGTTGCCATTTTGGTGGTAGGGTTTTTCATCTGTATCACTGTCGTAGGTGTGCATTCTCTGTCAAAATTGGATGCCAGTTCTGTTTGTATCTTTTTACAGCCTTGCTGGAAACACAATGTGTGACAATAAGTTCTAAAAATCAAAGCTTGCCCATCCTGTGTTCTAAACAAAATCTTGTGGTTGTCTTTAATATAGTTCTGTGTTGTGAGGTTGAATTTTTAAAAGCGATGGTAGCTAGAGACATCCAAGTTCCACGCCTCACCTCGCCTCAGCTGTGGCTGCACCCATCCATTCTGCACAGTGGCAGGTGAAGGTAAGTCAGCACCTGGAGCAGCTCCAGACAGACAAGTAAGTCACTCTACTGATTCCAGGTGGGTCCTCGGAGATCTCACCTGCCTGGCTGTAAGACAGAGACCTCTTACTACTTAAAACGTTCAAATATTTTATTACCTTTACAAAGTATGTTCATGGTATCTGCATTTAAAAATTTTTTTAAGTGTAACTTAAAATTCATCTTGAGTGAGCAGCCTTCATATTATAATATCATAGCTTGAAGAGTCCTGATGTGCCTACATCAGGGACTGAATACATATTTAATAAGGAAAAACAGACTTTTTTGCATGGAGGTCTCACTGTGTTACCCCAACCTGGCCTCAAACTGAGATCCTCCTGCCTCAGCTTCTTTCCAAGTAACTGAGATGATAGGTGTGCACCCCTGCACCCATCTTGGAAAATAGTCTTTTAAAAGTTGTTATGAATGTAACTAAAAGCCTTTCTTTGTGATACAAGAACGATGGTATCTTAGGACAGGAAATGTTTACAAAGGACATTTTTATATGTAAGTCCTCAGAAGACACTTCTGTATTCACTAAAAGCGTTTTGTTTTTAAGCTAGCTTTGGTTTTTCCCACTAAATTATAGCAATGTGATCCTACCCTAAAATACACAGAACATTTTATGTGGTATTAATGATAGTTAAAGAAAATGTGATCAGTGTTTTGAATTGATGTGGTTGATCACCGTGTATTTAAATCGTGCTGAGATGTGTTTTAGAAAGCTTTTTATGTGGTGTTAACATCTTTGTCAATAAGGTCATTCTTAACACTGGGCAGATACCATCCCAACCTTGCTATGATAAAGAAGTTCCAGAAGAGCGCTTAGATGGTAAATGTTTAGATAGTATTGTTCATTTTGCTTGAAAACTGCTGGTCTTTAACAAGTGAACAAGTAGTTTGAAATACTACAGATGTCCACATTTCCCATAAGGGAATGCGTCCTGCCATTCTTGCATGCAATAAGATCTACTAATTGAAAAATTATTGCATGTGTGACTTTCATAGGGAGAACTATTTTTGGTTGCTTTTAAAGAATTTAGATGTCATGTTTAAAGAACATAGAAAGTAGAGAAATTTTATATATTTATGAACTATTTGAAAGGCATATTTTTTAAATTATCAAATGGGGCTGTTCATAAAATAAATTGTATATAAAGATGATATAATTTAAAATAGTTTTATAAATTAAAGTCAACATTCCATGTAAATATTTGACCTTCACAAAGACAGATCTCTAAGTGTTACATGTGCACTGTGCATTTGGTAGCATTGCCCACTGGATTCCTTACAGATAGAACAGAAACAAAAACTACTCCAATAGCCCCAATACTCAGTCACATCAAAATAGATAGATCATCAGACTAAATATTACCTAACCCTGTGATCCAAATAGCAAGCCACTCAGCTTACAAACAGTAAAAGTGAGGAGGAGGTACCAGATCTCACACAGAAGCCATGCTCTGAAGTTATGTGGCTGGTCTAAGAGAAGTGCAAGTCGTAAGGAGCTGATTTGGGTGGACAGTTCAGTCTTGGAGCATTGACTGAAATTCCAATAAAGTAGGAGTCCTTGTACAAAGAATGGTGGGAAACGTATAATAACACAGGCGATCCTGTGCCCAATTTGGACAGCTCACATTCTTTACTCTCACATATATACGTTGAATTCTTTTTTCTTCATTTTCACATAACCGCCTCAGTTCTTTAATTTGCAGGTAGTGATAGTGTCGAGCAGTAGAAACTGGGTCTTTTTAGGTAGAGGTGGTGATGATGGGTCTGTTGTAAAAATGAAATTGTCCAGACTTCGTCCTCTTTTTAAAATCAGACCTGAATAATATTTTTAAAATAATGAAAGGAAAGGAATTTTGAGAAATGGTGTGGTAACATAGGCTTACATATGCTTTTTCTTGATGCTTTAAAAGAGATTTGATTGAAATTTAGTAAGACAGGGCCACCTCCCAGAGCTTGTTGTTAACTGCATCAAAAGGCCCTGCATCCTCTGCTTTCTGCACCAGCAGTTCCCGCTTAGCCAGGAGAAAAGCACTGTGTGTCTCACCTAGCAGCCTGCTCCCAGACAGAGTGTCAGCCCCTACTGCGCAGAATGGTGGGGGTATTGAGTTTTCAAGTATATATTTGATTATAGATTAAAGCATATATGTATATTCATTCCAGAACCAAGAAGGAAATTCTGTGCTCCCACAATTGACAAGTTAGATTTGGCTAAAAATAAAAAGGTAAAACTGAAGTATAATTTTCATTGTAATTAATATTTCTGATTAATATTTCTATCTTGGTGTCTTCAAGGCTGACATTCCTGGCACTGCAGTGATTGAATGTATCTAAATTGTAATCATTTAAAAATTGACAAATATGTAAACTGCTTACATTTATAAAACTGTTGTGAAAAATCTTCCTGAAGATACAGATTTTTATTATTTATTTTCTTTTGGGACTAGGAAGAATTTATAAATAAATGTAACGGAAAAATCTTTGATCTTAATAAAGTATCTTCAATCAATGTGTGTATTTGCAAGTTGTTTTTATATTTCAATATTGTAATATACTATTGTTATGTTCTATTCTATTACACTGTTTCCCATGATAGGACAAGTTCTTTTCTCTACTACAATATTCAATGACTTATTTGAAGTTGCCATATCTAAAATTAAATTTCACATATCTTTTTCAAACCACGTTTTCATGAAGCTTGTCGGAGAGGTAGCACTCACTTGCCTGGTTCTCGGCAGTGAGTAGTGGCAGTCTGAAGATGCAGGGTACGGTGGGATAGTGATCCAGGACCTTTTGTGATGGTGCCTCTTCCTCCTCACCTGCTGTTCCCCTCCCCGTCACTTGTTCCGCGATGCCTCTGAGAATGAACTGTCTTCTGCTCTTGTAGACAAACCAGTTAATATTGGCCTTGTTCCAGTGGTGAAGCCAGTTAACTCCAGTTCTGCTCCTACAGAATGATTGTACAATACCATTTAAGACTTCGGATCTGAAATCAGAATCTAGTTCTAATTTGGTCTGACATCAGCTTTGCAATGCAGTTGAGAAAATACATTGAATGTCTCTAGTCTTCATTTTCTCATCAGGAAAATATGGATAATAACAGTGATTACCTCATAGGACTGTTTTAGGCATAGAATGACAGTTCTTAGTATAAAATGTAAAGTTCTTAGTATAAAATATGGGATAGAAGCACCCAATAGTTATGGGCTCTTCTTTTATAATTACTATTACCACATTGCACAATTTAAAAATCAGTAGGTAAATATTTCTAATCACTCTACATAAACAGTTCCCCTATTTGTAAACTCATGAGAAGATTCTAATAATTCCTATTGTAAGCCTTATTATTAAAAAAAAATCTGTTGCTTCCAACCAAACTATACCTCAGGAACTAATTAAGTTATCTACAATATAAAAGCAAACAAAAATTTACTTTTAACTACTGAGTATGATGTTCTATACTTAATAACATTTGAAAGAAATGGTCCTTAATTGCTTCAGGCACTTTCTGCTACAGTTATCCTTCTTTTCTAAGTGCTTTTCCAGTTACACTGAAGTTTTTATAAGGAAGAAAATAGTTTACTTTTATACCGGCAGTCTTATACACCGACAACGTAACCAGTGCCTGTCTGGGTTGTGTTTATTAGTCCTGGGAGGTCTGTATGACTTCCATTCACTATCTCCTGTAGTCTGCATGACTGTCTTATATGGGAGATACTGCCTTCAGATGTTATAGTTCAGAGAACTGAGGGAAAGGGCTTCGGTCCCTTGCCCGAGGTCACATACCAGCTGGTATGCAGTGGAACCTGGGTTTGCATCGTCATGTCCCTGATTTACACAGACAACTGCATGATGTGAAAATCTTTTATGCCCCATCCCCATTCTTCCTGTTTGTGATGCCTCAGTTATGTTGCATTGCTTGTTTATAGGACTACCATAATTCTAATCTTAAAGTAGAACATGATAAAGGCCAGTCTTCTCAGGGTAGCTGAGCAGAAAGAGGTAAAGATTCTAAATCCATTACTCCACTGAGCTGCAAAACCACTCTGAGACTTCTTCCCTCTAATGGTCAAATAAAAAATAAATGTTATGATGGTCAAAGTCACTGTTGGGTTATTGTTTACCTGCTGCCCAAAGCTGTCCTAATTAAAAGCAGTTTCCACAAGCAGCACAGATTCTTCCCAATATCCACTTTCATTTAGTTCTTTTGTTCAGCTCTCACTTGCAGTGACACAATTTTTGAGATTTAAAATACTCCGGAACTTGTAGGGTGGGCCAAAGAAAGTAACACATTTAAATTTTATTTTCCTTACATTCCACCCCCCCCATTATAAGAAATTAACCTTAAAATGCAAATTTGGAGAAAGTTGATCTTAAGTTTTTGGATTTACAGATTTGTCCTGATTTTGTTCTAATTTTATCAGTTACTCAAAATGTAAATTGAAAGGCTGAGATTACCAGTGGTACTAATACTACCTATTTAATCTGATATGGGCAGCAAAAATACACAAAAATTACATTTGTTGAGCCCTTGATGTGAACCAAGCTCCTTACTGATTATTAGTACAGAAGATCTTTATGATCATCCACTTAAAAATAGAGGTTTAAGTGGAGGTGTAAATAACTCTGGAAACTGTGATTAAAAGTAACTGCCATAGATACTAAAGAAAACTATTAATAATACCTTATAGAATATATTGCTATCAAATATAGAAGATAACAGGATAGAAAGTGGAAGCAATGCAAATCTACTTAAATTTAGTTAAATAATTTTTTCTTAGGAATTTGAAGACAATCACCTGTGGAACCAAAAGAAGAATCAAAATCAATCAAAGAAGTGAGATCATTAAAAACAAAACTACATGTATCTCTAAATTTAAATGGTGTAAATTCAGGCAACTTTTCAAGTACATCAAATATGAAACCAACTATTATGTTTTGAGAAGAAAAGGATTTCAACTCTGCAGATTAGCAACAACATGAAACAAGCAGAAAGCACAGTAATAAAGTTGAACTTAATTGGGTCAAAAAGCCATTCTTTAGTAATTATGGGCATAAGCCACAAAAGACCATTGAGACATAAAGAAAAAACTTGAGAAACAATCAGTAATCTGCAAAACGCTCATAAACTTTAAAGAAAAATGGTGATGGAGGGTTTGAGTACCATAATTCTTCAGATGGGTTTGAATACCATAATTCCTAAGATTGATCCCATAGCTACAGAAAGAATGTTTAGTCCAAAAAGCAGATTACAATTTTTATTCCAAAAAAATTTCTGGAATCAAGTGACATTGCCAGTACTAGACACCATAACCTATGGGACAAAATGAAAACTGTCCTAAGAAGGAAGATTTTGTAATCATTGCTCACATTAGAGATACAGAAGAGCCAGGGATTTAGCTCAGTGGTTCCACCACCTGCCTTGCAAGTCAAGGGCCCGAGTTTGATCCCCAGTACAAACAACAACAACAAAAACAAGCTCAACTAACCTAATGATGAGCCTCAAGATACTCAAAAGACAACAGTAATCCAAACCCATTTTAAAGAGGGAAATCATAAAAATCAGCAGACTTTTAAAAAATGAATGAATCAAGGAGCTGGTTATTTGAAAGAATAAAATAAATAAGCCCTTAGCCAAACTTCTAAAAGAGGGAA